CACCTGTCTACCCCATTTCATGAATTTTTTATTTCTATTACAAATTTCATTGTTATTTGCTTAATTATTATCACTATTATTGTAATGCTATTAACAATAATGATAGTAATAAAAATAACAATTGTGCCTGGGAGTTACTGGTGTTTAAAGAAAATCCATAAAATAAAGAAGTGGACGGTGCACATATGCATGCACTTCCAGCATCAATGGTATAAACTAGATCCATAATGTTTGTTCATTTATGTATTATAATGTTTCAACCAGTTTTGGTCGAGTATGACACTATCTCCAAAGTACTTATACAAATGCAATGTTTGTATTTTGACCTGCTTAAATTGTTTTAATTAGTGCTTTAAAAATAATTTTACAAGGAATGTAAAGCTTTTTTGTGCCATCTAATTATTTGCATTGAAGTAACAATATGGTAATCTGTTGGTCACATAATAAACATTATTTATAACCAAACTTTAATCTTGCAGTATCTTTAAATATAAATGAGTTCTACAATATATGAATTCTACATGAAGTGTGAGCCTACAGTTCTGACATCAAATAAGAATATTATTTTTGTCACTAATACTACTTTCTGCTACATAATACCATTTGATCTCAATCTAAATAAAAGTGTATGCCAATTAGCATCATTTGTCCAGAAGTAAAAAAGTATGAACATGCACCATAAATTTATTTTTGTTTCCAGTGCTGAGAATTACCTGGTTCAACCATCACAGATGCATGAAAATCAGTATTACCTGGTTCAACCATCACAGATGCACGAAAATCAGTAACACACTGAACACATGACAGGTGGTCAAGATACATATTTATCAAAGGACAGGTATATAGATCATTCTTTCTAATACTACTGAACACAAAAAAAATCAGGAAAGTGACACCAAGAAAAACAGAGAGACAAAGACTATATATATCACAACAATATAATATACAGCAAGAAAACAAAGGTATGGTTGGGCAGTGCAATTGAAAATATTTAATAGAAAAAAAAAACTCTGTACCAGAGTTGTTTTATGACAGCACCCAGACTGAAAATTTATCAGTATGTCTACTATTAATTCAGATACCAAATATATCATAGCAACATTAAGTATAGTTTGATCCATAACAACAGACAATATTTGTTCCATGAATACTGCTTTGGTACCATTAGAAATAAATTACAGAAAGACAATATAATATATCAAAGATGTCTTTAATAGTACGAAGTTCATTTCATCAACTAAAATAGTGTTCACCGTGAGGAGTGCGATACCCCAAATTACAAGCTTCCCTTCCAAACACTTCCCCCTTCAATATTACATACAACCTTGGAAGTATAAGGATCAACAGATAAACCAGTGGTATTTGCCAAGTTGTTTACATGACAGTCTTTTAGATGAGTCTGGGATGAAGTTGTGCCATTATCACTTCCAAATGTTGACATGCTGAAGTTGGTCGAGTGCAGGCTACCAGTTACATATCCTGTATCCTGTGATGGCACTTCCCCACTCACATTCACCTGCAATAGAGCAACAATAATAAATCTCTCTCGTTCTCTCTCTATAGAAAAATATATGAACATTAAAATATTCCTATCTGTGATTTACATACATGACTTAGGTAGTCGCTACCTGAATTAGAAAATAAATCTCAAAACCTTGTATTGTCTTCCCCTTCTGCTCAAAAATAAAACACTATATAAACTAGCCAATAATTATGATTCTCAATGATATTCCTTCACTGAAAAAAAGAAAACTCACCTCAAGAGAGTCAGTTTCCATGTCGCATACTGACAAGGACCTACGGAGGGTGGTTGTGGTAGTGGTACGGGGCTGTTGCATGGACTGGCCAACATGTCTTGTGCTCGAAGTTAGGCCTATTCTTTCATCATCCATCATTATCTCTTCTTCTATGCAGCTTTTTCCTGACATTGGTATAATATGTTACTCTAAGGTAAACAGTTCTATTAATCAAGGATCTGAGTAAACACTCCTACTGCAAAGGTTGAAGGAGTGATACAAAACTGGCAGGATGAAAGGTTACTGCTGATGTCAAGGAAAGTTTACAAATGCTTAAAAATTAATTCATCCCTTCTAACTTTACAAAAACAATGTGATAAAATTACATGAGCCACCTTTAAAAGGATAATGGTATAATACTTTACAACAATGAGAACAATACTGACAAATAACAGAAACTTACCATCTATATCAATGCTCATATGAGTTGACTGTGACAAGCTGAATTGAGATTTGGGTTGAGACCTCAAGTGATGACTCTCTTGATGTGGCAGGAACATGAGGGACCTACAGAGGATAGGCGAGAGTGGAGGCGAGGAAGAAAATCTCTTTCTTGGTGTGTCCATTGCGAGAGGACTATTGCCATCTTCCCGGATAGGACTAGAAGAGAAGTGACCCTGGAAGAAGAAACAGTGGTTTAGTTATTATTTCAAGGAAAACTTATGTAATTATAATAGACAGAAATTCATATTTACTTTGTCAGTGAGTCTTTTCTCTATATGTAAATTGTTAAGTAGACTAACCGAGTTGCTCCTTTGCTCAACGGCTGTCTTTACAGGTGTTTTCTGCTGATTTTCATTAGATTCCTGAATTGAATTCTCCTTCTCTTCTTCTGGCTCTTGTTTCCATACCTGATCTTGTGCTGGTGCTTCGCAATTTACCTCGGATGAAATTTCACTGCATGGAATATTGTTTAGGATCCTGCATGGTGAAGGTATTTTCTTAATCTTTGGTGTCGTTCTCAAACAGTCACCACTGTTCTCCTTGTCAATTCGTCTCTCAATAACACCACCATGACTAGTTTCACTGCTTAAATCTGAGCCTGTAAGACATTCATGAATATTCTCACAGCTTTTGTCTTTACTGCATGAATCCTGGCACTTTACAGAAAACTCCAAACTTTGTTGTAATCTCATTGTAAAGTATGAACTCTGTAAGCAACCTGAACGCGGTGAAGCTGGCAGCATCTCCTCATTGTGTAAAACCGAATCTGAATATAATGCTGTGTGGAAAGGCAAACTACAGGATGGACTGTCCTTGGCACTTGTTTCTGTACATGATACAGCATGGTCTTGACTGGAAGAAACTCTAAAAGATGGTAGGGGCTGTCCTAGAACTGGATCATGAAAGGAAGTATCTTCACTGATGTGAGATGACGCAGAGATGAACACGTCTCTGGGACTCGGAATAGTAATGTACTGATGGCAATGAATGGGCGACACATCTGGCGAGGTGACAAGCCCTGGCCCTTCGCTGCTCTGCTGAGCTTGAACCGGAGACAGATTTGGCGAACATTGTATCATGGGACTATCTCTTTGATCCTTGTCTGGCCTCCTGAAAGCAAATGGCTCACTGAAGGGCTTGTCACTCGGCAAGTATGACATGCGGGATGGTGGTGTTGGTGGAGGATGCCTGGCCAACTGTGGATCCTTGCTGGAGGTTCCTATCTCTCCACGATTGATGATGGTTCCACACCACAATAGATTTCTGTGATCATCTTCCTCTTCACTTATAATGGGTACTTCATCCTCATCGTCTAAGGGTAAAGGAACAGTGGGCGAAGGTGGTCTACTGTCAGGGTCTGGCGTGTCTGCACCACGAGGACTACACATTCTGTGGGGAGTCATGATAAAGATATGATAAAGGCAGGGATATTGGTATCAGCAATATTTGTACTGAATGGCAAAAATAATAAGGGCACTGTATGGAAAAGAAAAACTGGAAAAAATTTATACTGCATCATTCAGATATTCATCTTAACATCAGAATTTTAAGGCACTCACAGTAAAAGACAGGAAAAAATAAAAAGCTATATTTGTGTGTGTGTGGGTGTGTGTGTGTATTTACGTATGTATGCATGCATGTTATTTGCACATATGAAGTAGGACAGAACACATACGGTGTAGCATTGAGCAATTCGTCTTGGCTAAAGAGCAGCTTCCGGCGCAGTGTTGTGTTGTTGAGACTTGTCCCTTCATCTTCACAGCCACCCTGCCAGAACTGGTCCTGAAATGTTAATCAACTTGATAATTTAGTTTCAGAGAGCTACTGAGAACATACAGTATTACAATTGACATATGTAAACCATAGCAAAGATGTGAACAGATTGTACACTTAACCAAAATTATCTCATAGTTTCATTTACATTCCTCTGAATTTCTGAATCCTCTTTCTTGTCTATGGAAAAGACAGCTTGTAAACAAACCTGTGTAAATGTACAGAAGGGTTTTAATGCTTCCTCAACAGCTTCTGGTAAGACAGGAGGAATTGACAGCTCTGTTTGGCACCAAACTGTAAAGTGAAGAAAGTGTTTTACAGAATATCTTATCAAGCAGTATTCCATCGAGTTTGAAATTCAAAATTACTAAATGCCTCAAGGTAAAATGGCTGTACCAGGAAAACTTAAAAATACAACAGACAGACTTGACAATAACTTACCTGTATTAGTTCGAGGTGTTGGTTGACTAGATACTGGGTGGACTGGAGTGCATACCATCTGGAGAAGGTTGACAGACTTCTGACTTCCAGTCCAAGGACTTGGGACAACAGAGTGATGATTAAAAAACCTGCAAGAGATGGAAGTGATATGCCACTTTTCCTAAAATAAAGGAAGTGGTACAGCATCAAGGCCATAAACCTAATATGCCCCAATACCTCACATGTACACTCATTTATACACAGTTATACACACACACAAACACATATGCATTCACATGTATATATTTATTATGTACACGCATACACATGCATGTATATAAAAACACATACATGTGATCTGAGACAAGCAGTGGCCATACTTATGAAATGGTCAAGTTGCTCAGGCTGGGATTAACATTTCTTTTGTTAGTAACCTGAAAACCCATTAGCATATCTTTTTGAAACAAACAACCTTTAAAAGAGAAATCAATATAATTTCTACATTATCTGAGGATAATGTTTAGTAAATGAAAAATTCCAGAAATTGAACAAAAAATATTCACAAAA